CGCTTGGAAGAAACGTCTACATAAAGATTACAATGTTGGACTGTGGTGAGGTCGTCGCTGAGAAGCTTGGGTGGCAACTTGACTAAGAAGTCGGCCTAGACCTGGGACTTGGTGCAGGTACGGATGTGGTACTCGATGTCGAACTCCGAAAGCTCGATTGACCACTTGGCCATCCGACCAGATTGGGTCGGGCTGTGAAGAATAGTTCGGAGTGGCTGACTCGTGAGGATAGCTATCTTATGAGACTGGAAGTACTGACGCAGCTTCCGGGATGACATAACCACTGCGAGTGCTAGCTTCTCCAAGGTTGGGTATGACATTTCCGCGCCGTCGAGACTCTTGCTCACGTAGAAGACCGGTTTCTGTTCGCCTTGGTCTTCTCGGACGAGGACACCGCAGATGGCCGAGATAGACAAGGCGACATATAAGTACAACGGCTCGCCATCTTTGGGTTTAGCGAGCACCGGTGGCGTCGAGAGATAGAGCTTTAGTTGCTGGAAGGCTTCTTCGCACTTGTCGTCCCAAAGGAAGCGTTTGTTGCTTCGAAGAAGTTTGTAGAATGGGAGGCACCTGTCCGTAGATCAGGAGATAAAGCGGTTGAGGGCGGCGATCCGTCCGGTCAATTGTTGGACCTTGCGCGTGTTGCATGGTGAAGGTAGCTTGAGGATGGCTGTGATTTGCTTCGGGTTCGCCTCGATACCGTGTTGTGTGACTAAGTAGCCGAGGAATTCTCCTGATGTAACCGCGAATGTGCATTTCACGGGGTTCAGCTTCATTCTGTAAGTGTTCAGGATCTGAAAGCACTCTCGAAGGTGGGTGATATGGTGGTCGGCCTTCAGCGACTTGACAAGCATGTCATCGATGTAGACCTCCATTGTGTGCCCAAGCTGGTCGGCGAACATCTTGTTAACCAGTCTTTGGTAAGTGACGTCGGCGTTTTTGAACCCGAATGGCATCACCTTATAGCAGTACGTCCCTCGGTTCGTGATAAACGAGGTCTTCTCGCGATCGTCGGGATGCATCACGATCTGGTTGTAGCCGGAGAACGCGTCCATGAAAGAAAGCAAATCGTTGCCGGCGGTCGCCTCCACGAGTTAGTTGATTCGGGGCAGCGGGAAGCTATCTTTAGGGCAAGCCTTGTTAAGGTCGGTGAAGTCGATACATACGCGCCATTTGCCATTTTTCTTCTTGACTACCACGGGGTTGGCCAACCACTCTGGGTACTTGACTTCTTGGATTCATCCAGCTGCAAGGAGCTTCTCGACTTCGTCTTGGACGGCCTGAGCTCGCTCGGGACCGAGTTTGCGCCTCTTCTACTTGATTGGTTTGAACGTGACGTCGACGTTCAGCTCGTGACTGGTGATGTCCGGGCTGATTCCTGTCATATCTGCCTTGGACCAAGCGAAGGTACGGATGTTCTCGCAAAGAAAGGCGATGAGGTCGTCGCGCATGCTCAGGAGCAGCTCGGTTCTGATCCCGACGCATCGTTCGGGATGCTCAATGTCGATGATGACTTGTACGACTAAGTCGTTCTTTGGCTTTTCGTGGTGTACGATGCGGGGGTATAGACTGTCGATAACGAATGTAGACGAGTGTCGGACACGTTGCTAAGCGATGTAGCAGGATCAGGATTCACGCTGATCACCACAGATAGTGATGATCCCCCTTCTACTCGGCTTCGGCGCGCATGGTGCTGATCCACGGTGTCCCGAGGATGACGTTGTAGATGGTCGGTTTATCAATCACGTTGAATTTGACTGTTGTGACGATGCCTCCTTCTGTTGTCACTGGTAGTTTGATTGTTCCGATTGTGGAGGTTGAATCGCTAGCGAAGCCCGTGAATGCCTTTGGAGCGACTTTGATCTAGCTGTCCTTGATCCCCATCTGAATTAGGATAGTCTTGAATATTAGATCAACAGAGATGCCAGTGTCGATCAGGATTTTTGAGACATCATCTGATCCGATACATAGGGAGATAACGAGTGGGTCGTTGTGTGGCCGGTCGAGACCTTCAGCGTCAGCTTCCGTGAAGGTGATGGGCGGTGTATCGTCGTAGACCGGTGTTCCGCTCTTGGTGTACATGGCACGGTGTTCGTGTTTTTTGACGTAGTTGATGGAGTCGTTGCAGGTGAGGAGACCGTCCAGGATCATGTTGATCCGGCGTCAGGGTGAAGGTAGGGCTGGTGGTGGTGGGGTTAATCATTACGTGCACGCTTGGGATTCTCGTCAGGGCGGGCCTGTTCTTGTGGTGCGGGGCACGTCGGTCATCGTCTCGTGGGCGGGGTTGATCAGCACGGGGTCGGCGTGCTGGGTATCCGCCGCGTTGTCGGTCATCCAGTTTGATTTTACCGTCCAACCATTCTTGCATGAGTACATCTCTAAGGTGGCGGCACTCGGGGTCGTCGTGACCGGAGCGCTTGTGCTAGGTGCAATATGGTTGTGACCCGGAGGCGCTGTCCGAGGTGTGGTCCCATTTGTTCCATTAGGGGTCGAATGATAGCGGAGACGTTGGTTCTGCGAGCCTTGTCGTCGTTATTATAGTGCTGGCGAAGTTCCTGGTATTCCTCTTCTTTAGGTCGGGAGCTTGTGGATTTCTTCTTCGTTGCGAGTTTTTCATCCTCCCTAGCTTGTGTGTCCTCCAGGTTCATGAATTTGGTGGCTTTGTTACGGAATTCATCGAGGGACTGAGTTTTTGCTGTTGACACCTTGTCATAAAACTTTTGGTTCTTGCGAAGGTTAAGGCCGAGTGCTATCAAGGCGTTCCCATCCGTTGGGTCGCAGCGTGCAACGACGGCGCAGAAGCGGCCGATGTAATCGCAGAGGGTTTCCTTTTCGTCCTGAATGCATGTCCAGAGTTCGGAGGTATTTCTTCCTCGCTCGATGTACATGGAGTAATGCCGTAGGAATTCCAACGAGTGTTGGGCGAATGTCTCGATGGAGTTCGATTTGAGCTTTGAGAACCACTGGAGGGCGTTTTCGGCAAGGATTCCACAAAGTATTGGCAGAGGGAGGCGTCATGTACTTCTGGTGAGAACCGGGCTCGATTCATGGCATTATTGAAGGTCATGAGATGTTTTTGTAGATCAGTGTTACCGACGAACGACGTTGGAAGTTTAGGTCGGGTACTGGAATCTTTAACGTATTGATCCTTGGTGCCCCGTGCTGAAGTAAGTGTTTCGCCGAAGATAAGACGCTTAGCTCCCGACGCGGTAGTGCCTGGGGGTATGTGGATGGCTTTGGGAGTGCTGGTCTCGGTGTCGTCTGCGTCCCGTGGTGGAGAGTCAGGTCGGGGTTCGCGTAGGGTTTCGAGGTACGCGACCTGCTGAGCTTGGATAGCTCTGATCTGCTCGTTTAGCTTGTTGTCCATCTGTGCCATGAAGGACTGCAGAATGGCGGTGATATCTGTCGGTGAGGGTGGAGGTAGAGGGGGCGGGAGTATGCCCGTCGTGTTGAGAGAGCCCCGGGCTGCTGGGAGGCCGGTCTCGTCGGGGGTCCCGTGCTGTTGGACGTTCGAACTGCCACCGGGCTCCAGGGTTCCCGAGCCCAGTCTGGTCACTTGTGTGGTAGGGGTGTTCCCGACCTGCTGAGGGTCGACGGGGGATTGTTGAATGATGGTACTATCAGTGGGCTGTTTCTCCGACGCCATCTCCGAGTTCTGGCAAGAGTATACAAACTTGTATCTTTTATTCCCCACAAATGGTGCCAACTGTAAGATCTGGATATCTACTCTAAAGAAAATATAAAAATTTGTGGGAGAGATCTAATCTCCCGTTCTCAACCCATGACCAATATGAAGGGGAGGGGGGGGAAGATATAGTTTTATTGATTAGCCAGAGCTCGAAGAGTACAAGGAGTAGGTCGTCGGAAAAGAACGCCGACCTAAAACTTAGGAGGTAAGAATCGAGATCTAAAGCTTGAAAGCATGAAGTTATTGTTTGCCCTAGGTCTCAAGTCAGAAGTTGTGAATGAATAATCTTCGAGGGAGGGGGCTCTTTTTATATAGTCGTCATAGACCGTCTTGAGTCGAATCCTTTCTCCTTCGGGATAAGGATAATTTCCTTTCTTCTCGGGACTTCATTTCCTTTTTTTCCATGATTCGAATATATCTTGGAATATTTTCATATTTCAAAACCGATCTAACTCTGTAGGCGGAGGTAAGGTTTCAAATAGACCTTTTTTTAATTTATGAAGGGCTTTTAGCAAAGTATGCTAAACCCATCACTAACACTGAACATTTGATTTGTGTTTTTATAAGTATTTTCAAGGAGTTGGGTTTGGTGAAATACTGAAATGGACAGTGCCATATGTGCAAATCCCCATATTTGTTTGACAGTGCGGTATACATATTCTCACTAATGACTTCGCCGTGTTTTCTTTAGCTCTACTTCATCTTCTGTTCTCTTGCGGACTATGGTTGAATCGTGTTGGAGTCGTCACTTTGTGTTGATTTGTGTTTGCAGTAAAGTCATCATAAGAACCGAGTCAACCGAGTTATACATTAGAGGAAAATAATCAGATTACGAGTATCAAGAACCAGAATCACTTAGGCTTCTTAGTGAATGTAGCATATTGGGCTTTCACTATGACCTCATTATGCCATAATTTTTTATAATGGCCCAAGATTTTGGAATTGAGCTCAGATCAGTTTTTATTTATTCAGAGCAGTAATAGGTAACTGGAATAGGTAAAGAAACCTCAAACACTAAACCATAGCTTATAGTTATACACTCAATTGTTCATTGATATCGATTGAGTTATGCAAATACAAAAATTGTGATGCACAGGTGGAGGAGACGACATCCAAGGATGTAATTTTTTTATTTATTTATAAATTGTTTAGCTTATATGAAAATGTAAGCTCTCGGACTTTTTTGTTTGAGTTAGATCTTTGTGTGCATTACCGAAGGAATCTCTAAACATGACATAGTAAAATTCAAGAATAAGAAAGAATCTTTAATGAACATAAATGAATTTGACATATTGTTCCCATAAATTTGATGTAACAGACTAAAAAGCTAACCCAACTTACAGTGAGAGACAAAATAAATAGTACTTAGGTTCCAAATCGTTCTACTGAAATTATATATACATTGTTAAATCAACAGACAAAAAAATTTGAACTTTTTTTCCCTAACCCGATTTGATGATTTTCTCCATCGATGCAAACACTGTTTCCTCAAAAAAATCTTCTGATCAACGAAGTCGACCTATGCATACGCCTACGTTCGCCGTCGGTATCCAAATCTACAAGATTGGAAGAAGGAGAAGAAGAGCCACGATTAGGTCTCGCCCTCCTCATAAACGAAACCATTCCTCGAACTGCTCGTCTCAATCTACCGCCGTTACCGGAGCGAGAACCGTTTCTACTCAACTCCGGAGTTCCCTGTGCCCTGACCCACGAGATTCGTCTCGGTCCTTCGTTACTACCAAGTCCACCGCCGTCCATTTCCGTCAACACCACCGGCAAGATTCTCTCCCCTTCTCTCATCGCCGAGTTAAACCTTCCAACAGCGAATCCACCGCCGGGAAGTCTCCAAATCGTCATCCCCACGGCGTGTTCTTCCTCGGTACTCCGTTGTATTGGATCCGAAGGCAATTCGAATCTACAAACGGGGCACGAGTTCCGGATCGAAAGCCACGGAACGATGCAATCGCCGTGAAAAATGTGCTTACACGGCATCTCACGCCCTTCCACTCCCGCCTCAAAAACCTCCGTGCACACGGCGCAATTCGCCTCTGCTTTCATGTGGCAATCGGAGATATCGACCGTCGGCAGAGATTCAATCGCTGATTTCGACGCCGGAGGATTCCCAGATCTACCGATTCCTGTAGTCGACGCCTCGATCTGACTCAATTGCTCAAGCAACCGCTCAAATCCAGATCCCATTAAGATCTCAGATACAGAATCCGGTAGCGGCCTAAGACCAGAACCGGATCCATCGTCGTAATAGAACTCATAAGCGCGACGATCCCTTGTAATCCCTTCTCCTTCTTCGTTCTCAACTCTCTCACCACTGGCTCCTCCGTGTAATACGATTACCGGATTAAAAGACGTCCGGCGACCGGATCTCCGGCGTCTAATTATGGATCTATGACTATCTTCGACCGATCTAACTTCCTGTGACGCCGGAGTCGACGGTGCTTCAGCGGCGGAAGAATCTTCAATCTCTTCGATGAAACCGCCGTCGCAATAAGGACACAAGACGCCGGCGTTTGCGTCTTGGTCAGACCAAACGCTGATGAAACGCGTGCAACTATAACACCAATACGAAGTCGTAGCAGCCGTCGTCGGAGTTGTTATCGCCGACCTAGATGGCATCATCGCTTGACTTGTGTTGCTGGTGAAAGGATCTGAAAGTGAATAAGAAGGTAATCGCTGACCCCAAAAAATGTAATGAGAAAAGGAAGAAGAAAAAACGTTTTTGTAGATGAGTGTTAACGGCGTTAGATTAGACGGTTACAACACGTGACAGTGTTTGACTGTGGAGATGATGACGGAGTTATAAACGGTGGTTCTAGAGTGAGAGAGCGTCATTGGCGTGGCGTGTGTGCGAGATATTTGACCCCGAATGTGAAAACTGAAAACGCCGCGAGTCTTCGAAGAAGTTTCAGAAGAATCAGCGTGGGACCCACCAAGCTCTCTCAGGGTAAGTAACATGGAAAGTAAATTACACGTCGTCGTTTCAGGACTAAGTATGCTTTAGGAGTATTAAATAATTTACTTTGTTTGCAGTAATTTGTTTAGAATTAAGAAAATGTGTGTTGTCATGATGTGGGTCTTTGTGTATGGATCTTTGAATTTTGGAATGCGATAAATTTGTTCTTGTTAACATTGTTTGACTCTTGTTTAGCTTATTAAGTATAAATCTAGGGACTAAGTATCTCTTGGCTAACTTTTTTATTGGTTTTGTCAACTAAATGCTTTTTTTTGGTTAACCAAAACATGACTTTTGTAAGAGATTTTGTTCATTTTTTTAATTTATGATTCAGGGTTGGAAAAAAGTTGGATTTCAAGATTTTCTTATGTTCCCTATCAGATTAAAAAAAACATAAAATATCATATCTGTTGCATTACATTGCGGAAAATACCTTCAAATTGTTTGTTCGGAACTATTAACTAATCCTCTGCTCTTTTTCTAACTGATTCAAGCCTAGTGATGGATTGAGTCATTCCAAATTTTCTACGACAAAAAGCTTCATAACTTATATCGTTCTGTGTTGACTTTCAGTCGGTGACAGGAAGCAGCAAAATTTATATTATAGAATCTGCTGTGATGAATGAGTGGGACGGTATTACAGAGGCCAGTTAATGATTTCAGCTACTAGCACGCTTAAAATGTTCACGAATAAATCTCTCAGCGTGAGACGGGTACTTATCTCGGACATAGGCACGAAGACACTTCTGGTATGAGAAGTCTATCCATCCACCATCCGTTCTCACAACAAAGAGGCACCTCGAGTGCCTGAACTGAGGATGCCGATCAACCTAACCATTAACAAGCAGATAGAAACCAATATAAAGAAGATAGAAAAATGTGTCGATGGTGAAAGCTTAGTTTGAAGAAAACAGATGCAGCAACAAAGTTCGATATGGATGTCAAAGTGTAACCATTTATATCTATAATATGTTTAGATTCAGCATGTAAGCTAGTCATCTATGTATCTATCATTCGAGAATTGATTCTACAATACCTCCGGATGAAAAGAGATCAAAGAGAGAGATAATCTACGGTACCATTATAAAATCAAGACCGCAGCCAATTTTATCTTTGGAGTAGGGGTGATGAGCAAGAAGCTTTTCTATGATAATTTTCTCATCCTCAAAGTCTAAGCGTTCTCCATCTAAATACCTGTTTATCAAGAGAAAAAAAAACAAACAGATCACTTGGACCGGAGAAACATAATCTACACGAAAGGGCGAGTATGCACTGAAGCTAGCATCAAGAATCAATACTTTTCACCACATAACAGTTCCCGTTTGGCTATTGTTCCAGTAGAGTAAAGATACAAGAGCATCTATCACATTATGGAGAACGATTATTCTGCATAGACAACTATAAACTCCAAGCATCCATGCCTGTGTAGCAAGAATATGGCTTCTCCACATATCAGTTTAGGTGGAACCATTATAGATTAGACCTTAGGCCAAAATGGTGTCTCTATGTTGTTAAGTAAAACAACAAGCTACTGGAAAAAGCCATGACACTGTATAACTTGAAGGTTAATCCAAACATGGAACAGCTATTGTAGAGCATGAGGGATTCATTCCGAGTACTTCAAGAAAAATCAGGGATCAACCCCACAACCTAAGTTTCGATTGGAATTGTAATTCAAAACACTGGCACTACTTTTTGAAGATTCAGTTCTATCAATTTGTGCTAGACGATAGTGCAACTGATCTAACCTAACACTTGAATCATAACTACAGCAATTATGGTGAAAAATGAAATTCACCTATCCGAATGAAGAATGTCTTTAGCGAGAAGAGCTACAGGTTCGATATCTCGAAGAATCTCCGCCTCCAGGTTCTTCCATTTCCGATAATCAGGATCTTCAAAACGCCAGCTATCATCAACAGGTGGCGGCGAGTTCATCTTCGTGGCGGATCCCTCCGCCCGAGACTCATCCCCCTGCAACCGTGGTTTATCAGCAAGAGAACACAACAGACGCCGACGGTGAGAGAGGAATCCAGCCGCCGCGATACCGACTTGATGACGGTGGTTGAGAAAACCGTTGCGGAGGAGCGGGAGGGTTCTGAGGAGGAGTAGCGAGGTCATTGACGAGGATCGAAGAGGGATAGAGAGAGAACAAACAAGTTCGTCCCGAAAAAAAAACCAGAATTGACTCCGCTTCTTTTCAAGAGTTCACCAAACGAGAAACTGAAGAGAAATGTAAAGACTAAACCCTAAAACTGTACAATCACTCGGTGAAGAAGATGAAAGAGGGAAGCTCGCTCTGTCGGGGAATTTGGGAAGAAGATAAGAATCAAAGGAACGTTTCCTCAGATTTTTTTTTCTGTACTGGGCCCACAGGCCCATATTTATCTCAAATTACGAAGCTGGGCTTCGAACCTGAAATGCTGAGGAAGCTTTTTCCTCGATATTTATTTTCATTTCTCAATAATTGAAAAACTTACAAAAAGGAGAATCCGTGAACTTTGTTTATCTGAGCCGTTAGATTGATCCTTAGACACTTCTATAAATATCTAAAACCATGATCCAACGGTTCAAATATCGTATTGCGTGTCAACACTGTACATACTCATCACCGAATCTTTCTCCTCATTTCTCTCTCCAGCTGGCCGAACCCACCGGCTTTGCCCACTTTCTCTCTTGGGCCCACAAAGGCAACTTGGTAAGTCAGTACTAAATTACCGGAAAACCCTCGGAGATAGCTTAATTGCCCTTTCTCAGTCCACGTGGCTAATCCAACGTGCCTATTTTGGTATTTTCGTATTTAATCTTCTACAGCGTGACTATTGTTGCACAAACGTGCACTCGTGACGTGTTTTAAAAAGATTGGTTAAACTCACAAAGATTTCAAATATATATAAATCATAGTCGGTTGGAGATATTTAGAAGATCAAAAATATCTAGCTAACTCGTCCACGTTGGCACTAACCCAAGGCCCCTCTGGAATTAGATATTGCGCTTTTCTCTTATCTTTTGCTTTTCTTTTTCCTCGAGAAATATAAACAAATGATATTTCTTTCTCCTCTCTTTTGAAAATTGCTCATCCTCACAAACCAAACTTCTCCACGAAATTTCTATCTTTGCTTTCTCCTATCTCTGATCTGAAAACCTAATCGATTCTGTAGCTTCTAAGAACTTCAATCTCCAACTGAATTTCAAGAAAATTAGAGAGTAGAAATGGGTGAGGAAGTGGTGATGAGCGATTACGATGTTTCCGGCGACGGAGACAGGATTCGGGAATGGGAGATGGGGCTACCTAGCGACGAAGATTTAGCATCGCTCTCTCACTCTCTGATTCCAACGAATCTCGCGATGGCTTTTAGTATCTCACCGGAGAAGAGCCGTACGATCCAGGATGTGAATCGCGCATCGGAGACGACGCTCTCGTCGCTGCGCAGCGGATCTTCCTGTCCCAACACCTCCTCCTCGAACAACAACAGCAATAGCTTCAAAACCGGCGTCGCGGCGGAGGAGGAGCAAGACCGGGTCGGATCGAGCAGCCCCGGATCCGATTCGAAGAAGCAGAAGACATCTGACGGCGACGGCGGTGTGGATCTCTCCACGGCGGATGCAACGGCGGAGGAAGGAGATTCGGGAACTGAGGATCCTACTGGGAAGTCACTTAAACGACCGCGTTTAGTGTGGACGCCGCAGCTGCACAAGAGATTCGTCGACGTTGTGTCTCACTTAGGGGTCAAAAACGCCGTCCCGAAGTCGATTATGCAGCTGATGAACGTCGAAGGTCTGACTCGAGAGAACGTAGCCTCTCATCTCCAGAAGTACAGGCTTTACCTCAAGAGGATGCAGGGTCTGACGACGGAAGGTCCGTCTGCTTCCGATAAGCTCTTCTCCTCAACGCCTGTGCCTCCACAGAGCTTCCAAGACATCGGAGGAGGTAGCAGTAACGGCCAAGGGAATGGATCAGCCGGAGTACCGATTCCGGTTCCGTACGGTGCGCCGCCGATGATGCAGATGCCGGTCTATGCGCATCATATGGGTATGCAAGGATATCATCACCAAAACCACGGTCATGATCCTTATCATCAGAACCATCATCATCATCATCATCATGGAACTGGTGGACCTGGTGCATTCGAGGCAAATCCATATATGATGCAGCAGAACAAGTTCGGATCCATGGCGTCGTATCCTTCTGTTGGCGGTGGAAGCGCGAATGAGAATTGAAATGAATCGAATTTGGGATCTATAGATGGACCAATGAGAGGGGAGAGAATAGGTGAGAGAGCTTGTTTTGCTCGTGGAAACTGATAATTAAGTCAAGTTTCTGTCTTTTTAAGTACAGTTAATATTCTTACTTACACGATTTGATCAAAAATTGGTCAAAGTTTCTGTCTTTCCTTGAAATGGTATAGAATGAAGTCTTTGGCTTTAAAATCACTTGTTTGTTCGATGCATTTTAATTTTGACAGAGCTAAACATCAACTAAATTGAAATTATCCTGAGTATCTTCGAAATTATAAGCTGTTCTTGAGATTGTTTCTTGGATTACTACTCTTCCGAGCTAAGCAACTAGCACTGAATGCCTGTAACCGAGTCTTGCTCTAAACACACAGAGTGATATATTTGTCTTGTGCTTTGCTATTGTTCTGCACAAGTCTACTCTTTTAGTCATCTGGTTTTGGATTTAGACAAGATATCACTCTGCTTGTAAACGTATCATAATTGTAAAAATGTTGGTACTACTGGAGTTCATTCATTCATTGTGGAAGCTTTTTCTCGTGTTTGTTTAGTATTTCGTAGCGAGATCTATGTTCGGGTAGATTCAGTTACACACTTCTGAAAAATTCTGCGTCATTGCAAGTTTTGATCTTATTTGATTCTTGTTACAGGTTCTTGGCTTCTCGTACTTTTACCAGTTTCGTCCAAAATTTCTTATCTTTTGCCGGGGTTTTTCCACAACCAAGTTCTCATTGCATCTACATAGAAGATGATCATGTCAAAGCTAAGCCCGTGAGCATTCTTGGAGCACAATGCATATACTTGAAGACTTCTGACAAGTTCCATATTATACTCATTTTTCTATTTTTTGAGGTAAGTCATTTTTCTATAGACTTCTTAGAGAGACAATCAAGAGTTCAAGAGAGATGGCGTCAGACACAATCTTCATGTTTAATTATATAAATCAGTCCAATCTTTTTAAAGGAGGCCATTTTAAACAATCAAAGTATTTTCTCATATGACGACTTTTTCTTTTCTAAAGTAATAGCCTTTCATTGGATTGGAGAGCCACATTCGGCATTACCAATGAACTTCCAACAAAAAGGAAGAAAGTGACATTCCAACAAAAGTAAAACTCTTTTTTAAATCTCTCGCTGACATAGAGTTATTGGTTTTTGCTACGTAGGGTTCTACTTTGAGATGTACATAATGTTTTAAGACCTTTTCGTCTCCAATAAACGATCCTCATTTAATAAAAAAACACTAAGTTCCATTTCTCTGAACATCACACATTCAGTGACAATCTTATCCTCAAAAGCACTTTTGTGTCCCCTCTTTGATTTTATCGTTGAAAAGTAAGATTCTTCCACAATTAAAAAACTACATCGATTTCATCCAAAGAACCTGCTCTCTCCACAATAAGACCTTTTAATCTTCTGTTTTAACTGGCAGAGATGGTGAAGTATATAGAGAGACTAATTCCTAATTTGCCTTCACAGAGTCTTCAATAAGTGTTCAAACTCATCTAGCGAGTTGTGTGAAGAACCTCCACTTCTAACAGAGACTCTTAGCTTCTCTTTCAACCTGATGGCTCTCTTCCTCATCTCCTCTCCTTCCTCGCCCACCATTAGCCTCTTTACAGCTCTCTCGACCGCTCCTCTGTCTAGTTCACCTTCCACATGAATCCTAATTCTCCAAACACACTCCAAGTACCTCGCGTTCACCTTTTGATCACCGGTGCTCTCTAGCGTCGAGTTCCATCCGCAATGGCTCCAAAACCCTCCTACTGCAGGATGAGCAAGAACTTCCTTCTGTGGAGCCTATTTCACAATGTAACCTCGACTCGAGACCATCTTACTAAACTCCTCAGCAAGTGCTCTATCTATTCGGAACCACGTATCGACCCTGGCCTAATCACCCACAAGAAGTGTTGGTTGCTACTATCCAATCCCAAAGCAGTTTCCATCATTTCATTGACTTCCATCAAAGCTAAGCTTCCCAAGCTCATGAATATCACAGAGTTTTGCTTTTGTTTGTTCAACCATTTGACACAGTTCCTGTTCTTTTCAAGCAGACTCGTGGGAGCTGAGGCCACCATGTGAAGAGGGCCTATAGGAAACACTGGAATCTCTAGCTGTTGTTGCAGCCACGACAGAGACGAGCTCTCTAGACAGCTCGCTGTGTTGATTATCACAGAGGAAGCTGTCCGTTTGTCAACTGTATTCTCATACAGCTCCGTTATGCTTTCTAATGATGCCCAACGTGAAACCGGAAAGTCTTTGTATCTCAGAGGATGAAACTCTGGCACTAGCTCTTCTTTTTGTCCTTTTGGTTCTGCTAAAAGGTCAAGAACCATGGTGTTAAACAGGCTATAGACACTAGCCAAAACCGGAAACAGAGAATTATAGTGTACCATTCAATGGAGCAAGGACATTATTTGCATAGAGTTTTTCGAATACTGAGCGGCAAGCAAAAGCTGTGGCACTTGTGGTGCTGAAAATAACGCTTGGGAGCTTAAACTCTTTGGCTACAGCTTCAGAAAAGTACACGAACTCGTCGTAGATGACACATGAGATCTCGTTACTTTGTTGCAGAAGCAACTGACCCAAAAAGTCCTTGAAGCTAACCTGACATTCTTTGTTGAGCTTATGGAGAAACTGTATTGGCCCGAGATTCTTGAAAGCAGTCTCCGGTAAGCTTTCTGGAATGGTGACAAACTGAAAATCAGTGAAGTGATCTGAAGGTTCAACGTAATTGAACTTGGTCTGAGCAACAGTGATTGAGAAGCCCTTCAAGTGAAGAGCTTCGCAAGCTGCATCATTGGTGATATATGTCCTTGTGCTGGAGCTGGAACCAACACTAGCCTTCTCCTCGCTAACTTTTCCTCCATTTCCAAAACTAATCTCTGATATATTTGTTGAAAGAAGTATAAAAAGATTTGCGATGTTTTTGCTTTTGCGGTGACAAATCTATGATATAGTTAAACATATACTATTAGTATCTTTCACATATAAATACCAGATTTTGAGGCTTGTTGGCTCTATTCACCACAAGCGAAGCATGTGGTAGATGATGTATGTGAGTTCGATGAGACGGTTCCATCTCTTTGTCTTATTATAGAGTAACCAAAGACAAAACCAAAGATGCTTCTGTATTCTTGGTCCTCTTGTCTTCTTTGGATTCATGTCAAAAA